GTAAGCAAATATTAAATCGCATGTCCTGCTCTTAGGATCGGAGTTTGCGAAAATACTTATTGCATTTTATAATACGCGATTCTTTATAAGGTTTAAAATGTGTCATCTAAAAAAACAATAATGTGTAGGTACTGTTAATAATAATTAAAGAATACTTATATTTCTGTCAGTCCAATAAAACTTGTTTTAAGATATAAGGTAAAATGCGGTGAATATAATTCGAGGATTGAATGGAGATAAAAGAGTAGTCAATAGTATTATTTTTTTATAGTATCTATTTATTCACGCCATTCTCGTATCTATTCACATGGTTTTACGGAGCAGTTGTTTTTTTTTTCTATTTTGTAGACTATTTTTTTAAGGTTGACAACCTGACGGCTGTAAACCTTTAAAAAAAATTGTTATACCATCATTTTTTTTCTGTGTCATGGTTGTGCTTACGAGTAACAACAATTACATATCACATAGCGTCATCGCACCCAATATTCTAAATAGTTGTGAAAGATGTATCATCAGCTCTATACAATTACTAACATAGTAGGCGCACGCGCCGCTCTCACATCTACTTTGTTTATTTATTACACCTTTATAAACAATAACTTTGAAATTTCGACGTGTCAAATTATATTACAAACGGGATTTTGTTATTGCAGCATTGCCGGTTGACATTGCCATTTGACATAACATAACATCACGCCTTTTATCTGGGGTAGGCAGAGGTGCACACAGAAGTAACACCCACTTTTCACTATTTATGTTATAAGTCCTACGTAATAGGGGGTAAGCCTATTGCCATAATACCGGGCACAATTCCAGACTCCGTGCTACTACTGAGATTTTTTTTAAAAGCCAGTAATATTTTGCCCGACCCGGGAATCGAACCCAAGACCCCTTGCCCGGCAGTAGCACTTGCGACCACTAGGCCAACGAGGCAGTCATTAGTCATAGTCATTGCCATTTGACATAATAATATGTTCATGAAGTGACGATCCACAGCTTGTGACCGTTGAGGACTGGGCTGTGCTATGAGCCTCTTCTTCTAGTACTATTACATTTAATTCAATCATCTGAAACAATAGTATTCGTACCTTCTATGGTGTATGTTATAACGGCTTCTGATTGCTGAGAGGGTTAAGGGCCGGTATAATGGCACAGTTTAAAATAAAATGATGTTATTAATCATCGCTACGAGTATAACATCATAACATCACGCCTTTTATCCCCGAAGGGGTAGGCAGAGGTACACATTATGACACTTCATGCCACTGTACAATGTAACACCCACTTTACATTATTATGTTTTGAGTCTCATGTATTAGGGGGTGAGTCTATTGTCATCATTGTCATATACCGGGCTCAATTCCAGACTCCGTGCTACAACAGATTTTTTTTTTAAAAGCGCAGTACCTAATGCTTTATCCGACCCGGGAATCGAACCCGAGACCCCTTGTCCGGCAGCCGTATATTCGACCACTTGGCAACGAGGCAGTCGCTACGAGATTAATTTCTTCTTCTTTTTATGCACTAGGTATAATTCTTAAATCAATAAGTACATCATCATTTTGCTTAAACTGAAAATCTAATTTCAGGCCTACTTATTCAGAGCGTTGTCCAAATCTTAATTCCTACTGCTTACCTTTACGGATAATGAGTCTTGATTTACATCAAATATTTATACAGCGCCCTCTGTTCGAAACTTGTGGAACTCATTCGGGTTAGACGCTTTATTTGTTGACCGGTGCAGTGCACTGTTTATGTAAATAGTTTCTCTCGTAGTTTGTACAGTTCTTAATAGATGGCGTTAGATATCGGACTTTTACTAGTAAAGTGAAATATAACGATTTATTATAATTGTTATATCATGCCTTTTATCCCCGTAGGGGTAGGCAGTGGTGCACATTATGTTACTGTACAATGTAACACCCACTTTTCACCATTTATGTTATAAGTCCCATGTAATAGGGGGTGAACCTATTGTCATATACCGGACACATTTCCAACCTCCGTGCTAATACTGAGAGTTTATAAAAACCCAGTAATACTTTGCCCGACCCGGGAATTGAACCCGAGACCCCTTGCCTGGCAGTGGCACTTGCGACCACTCGGCCAACGAGGCAGTCGCTTTTAATTAATAGATGGATATAATTAATGTTATAGAGCTTTCTTAAAAGAAAGTTTGACCTTCATTAGTCCATTATGACGACACTTGTCCTTTTTTAAAAAAATACGTGAACACTCACCTTTAATATTTAGATCGACGGGTTTGTATCAATAAAAATTCTCAAGTCAGTGGCATGAAAAATTTATTTGATTTTCTTTTAATTACATTATGTATTACGATATGCTAAAATAAATACAGAAATTGTTCGGATAACTTTATCTTATTTATAATTATGTCCATTTAAATAATTATTAATAATTATAATTAATTCAATAATACATGGTTAAGCTTCTAAACCTAGTTATTTATTTACAATTTAATTAATAAATTAGAGTAAAATTATGGTGATTTATTAATTTCATGGAAAATATGTTGGCTGAACACACATTTTATATTATTTATTGCCGTTTTGACAATATCTTGGTCGAATATTGGCATTTGAAATAATTGTCAACTTGCAAAAAAATTGTAAATTTATGTTTTAATTTCGTGTGGGAGAATTAAAATATTATACCATTTACATGATTAATAGTACATTAATGACAGGTAAACATGACTGTATCCTTTTAGCAATACTAAGAACACATTAATAATTAGACATGTTAAAACAACGAGTTTATCTAACGTTTATAATTGTCCTGTTAACTATTTAATGAGCAATTATTGACAGACTTATTACGACTGTCTAATAAATTATATCATAATGTGACCTGCATGTTTCTTAAATTATTGTGACTCGATTTACATAATAAATTAATGTATCGTATAAATAAATTCAGTTGTCAATTTTAAAACATTTATGCTAAATTATTTATTTATTTATCGACATAAGTAAGGCTTATTGTACACGAAGCTTCATTTGACGAATGCATGAAATCGACAATAGGCGACCTACAAGTGACAAATGCTAGCTTGCTACAGTTCACGAAGCGACAACGTTGCGTCACTCACTTCCTATCGGCCTATAGTTATTTTGTAGGTTGCACGCATTCGTCAGATGACGCGTCGTGGAACGTAGGCCTTATTAGAAAAAGTATTTTATGGTCCGAAATATTGATATGTTAATCATTTATCATAAAATGTGATATTTAATTTATTTTTCTTAACAATTAAGTTATTGGAAATGAAAGTCACACAATGGAAGATTAAATCGATTAAAGACTCGATACATTACAAAACCTATAGTCATACGACCCGTATCGATAAATCTATTTTTATTTTACAATAAGAAGACGAAATATTTTCTTGATGTTTGTTACTTTGTGGATAACATTGGATCACTAAATAAACCAAGTTACATACCAATTGTACTATTTAAATAAAGACTTTTATAGTGACTTTTTCATTTTAGAACGTCAAATATAGTAAAGTAACATTATAATTTTGGAATCAGTGTCTATTAGAATTATGTTCTATTCAAATTCACTTAAGATCCAATGTTTTCTACAAAGAACTATCAAAAATTTAAGCTATCTTAAACTCTATGTCGACGGCGGAAGAGTCATTTGAACGCTAGGTCACCGTAGCCGTACCAACGTTGGTCACTGTAGCACAATGAAATAAATAAATACATAAATAAATAAATACTGGCTGAAATTCTGGAGCCTTAAGAAATATGACTGTAATATAATACAAATCTTTACTAAGGTCGTAATAATTATAATCCTAGACGAATATAAGTAATTCTTGTGAGATATTATCAATCTTGATTTAATCCCAAAAACATGTTATATTGGTAAAATATTCTACAACTCTTTTGGGTTTACCGAATTATTTAAATACAAGGTAATAATATGGAGAAAATATATTTATCGCAACGGCAGTAAAAACGATTTAGATAGACATAAGTAAGAAATATTGAAGTTCTGAATAAATAGACTAAGAAAAAGGGTAACGTATAAGATATGCTATACCACCAAAAAGTTAGGGATTTTACCTCAGTTTTAATTATCATGAAACTTTTCAGTCACATCTTGGTTTAAAATACCTATAATTATATTTCAGAAGTCACCAAAATTTCAGTGCTGACAATAAAATAATAGGTAGGTGAGAGGCACGGCAAGTGTATGTACAAAATGCTACGTGGCGTTGGTTCGGCGGTGCAGACAGTCGACCTTACAAGTATCATAGTGCACAAGCAAGACCAAGTGACTAATATTGAACACAATTACAATTTTTCAATCAATAATATGGTTATAGATGATTGTAGAAACAATAATAAGTCTATGTATTTTATTGACAATATAATTGAAGTAAATGTTAAAAGGAAAACTGAATTGCACCCAACATTAGCTGTCAACAATGTGTGTACAGTATGTTTGGTGCTTTTGATATGTTTTAAAGTAAATATTTGCTTTTAGTAGAATATCCATATTAATTTACCGAAGTTTAGACAGTTGCGAGATAAATAATACAAAGTTTCCATCAATACCTTTTTAAAGGGATAGGTTGAAGTTGATACTGTGATAATAGAAACAATTATTCCATAAAGTGTCTTAAAAGTAAGAAAGTATATAAAAGGGATCGACTGCATCATTAGATAAGTGATATGTGATCATTGCGTGCTTAATATAATGATATGTACTGCAAAACATTCGCTTTGAGAAAAACAGCGAAATCGTAATAAAAATAGTAATATGTACCTTGTTTATACGAGACTTGCTGCGTAACTTAAAGTACTGTGAAGTGCCTGTAATGATAGGAACACAAGTTTTAATCACAATTAACATAGAGTGGATGAAATACAAAAAATCGAGACAAAAAATAATATTGCTCACTTAACAATTGTAGTTTAAGATAATATAGATTTTAACAATGATAATTTTGAACTAGGATATAACTATTTTAGGATTGAAAAGTAACCTCTTATAAACAAGGTATTGTAAGTCAATAAAAGGACACAAACCACAATCACTTTCACAAAACTATGTATCATTCGCTTCAGTAAGATCTATGAAGCTAACATTTATAGAAACCCTCACTCAAAGCAAGCTATTTAATAAAAATGTAAAAAAGTATTTACAAAGCATTTAAACCTATCATGTGTAACATTGCGTCGCGTGATTCGTACCATTTATTCTACAAAACGACTGAACAGTATCGGCCGAAAGTCCTTTGGAGCCTATTACTTGAAATAATACGAAGTACCTCAGAGCAAGACAATTTATTTACGTCAAAGCAGACAACCTAATGTTTTGCCGGTAACGAAACCATAGCTTGAATTTAAATCGGCCAACGCCATCTATCGAGCTATGGTACAACACAATAAATAGTAATATGGCGTTGGCCGAGTGCATCTTTTAAACAGATTATTTCTACACTGAACATTCCGCCCACCAAAAGGAATATATTCCTTTTCGTACCGCCCACCATGCATAAACTTAACAACTAGGAGAACAGTGGACTGTATAACAATTATATTACTATATTACGAATAATACATCGAGATAGATCTAGTGGACGGCTTCTTTTAGCAGACATTGGCGCGGACAGTTATGGTTTCAATCAAAATGAATAGATATAAGTACAAAAACATTAATCTGGGTGACGAAATTCTTGTTACCGACAAAAATATCAGGTTGACAAAATTCTGACAAAAACAATATAACTAAACTACTAACTAAACATTGTAATCAATACATGACAGTGCACAAGAATAAGAGACATTGTTATTTCAACAGTGCAGTATAAGAAAATAACATAATAAAACATTATCTAAAAACATACGCAACTTAAACAATTAAATCTACAAGATTTTGTGCCTTATTCAGTAACAGGAAGAAAACACAATTTTGAAATTGGACGTTTAATCATAGAGCCCTTACAACGAACAGTGACAACTCGCAATATCCCACATTGGTCGATAAATACATTCAACTTATATAAAGAACTCGACCTTGCCAATGGACTCTTATTTTTCAGGGCTGTCAATTCAGCCTGAAACCATTGCTGTTGGCTTTGTTTGATACATACATTCAACGTTTTGTGAATTTCGGAAGCTGACAGGTATTTTGCAACCTTAATATTCGCTTTACGAAGTTTTAATGATTGCAAAAATCTTTTACAATACGCCACAACTCTCACCAAACGTGAAAGTGATGAATACTTAGATCCCCAAATGACTTCAAAATCAGGCACTACGCTGGCAGTGTGAACATTAACTTGCTTTAACTCCTCATTAGTATGAATGGCACTAGGCCGGGTGAAGTCTATCTGAGCATTCCTTAACCAACCTGGTCCATGTTTCCAAAGATCATCACCGAGGAGAAATGCTGAAGACACTCCCCGGGAAGCTATATCTGCTGGATTTTCTTTAGATTTAACATAAGCCCACTGTGAATTGTCTAGCAAACCAAGAATCTCAGAAGTACGATTAGCCACGTAAGTTTTCCATCGACTTGGATGATCATTTAACCAGGCCAAAACAACTGATGAATCCGTCCAAGCATGTATATTTGCCTTAGGAATGTTCATTTTTATTTCAAGGTCTCTACCAGAAGTTTCCTTCAACGTTTCCAAAATGGATGGTCTATTGCTTGTCCACTTTTGCAATTGGAACCCCGCTTTCTCTAATAGACAATTCATTTCATCATAAATTAGTTTTACTTCTGTTTCAGATTGACACCCAGTCATCAGATCGTCCATATAGAAGTCTGACTTCACCCTTTCAGCAGCCATTGGATACCTCTCGCCTTCATCGCACGCAACTTGCTGCAACGACTTTACAGCTAAGTAAGGAGCGCATGACGTACCAAAGGTGACAGTCAGAAGTCGGTAATCCTCGATCTCTTTGTTTGGATTCTCTCTCCAAACAATTCTTTGATAATCTGTATCAGGTCGAGCGACCTTGATTTGGCGATACATTTTGACGATATCGGCAGCCAGACAGATCGGATGTTGACGCCATCTCATGACAATATGTCGCAAATCTGCCTGAAGAGTGGGTCCTACCATTAAGGTGTCATTTAAGGAAACCCCGTTCGTTCCCTTACATGACGCGTCATAAACCACTCTTACCTTAGTGGTTAATTTATCCTGTCTAACCACTGCGTGATGAGGCAAATAAACAGCATCGTTTTTTATTTATTTCAGCCTTATCAACGATTTTCTCCATATGACCCAGCAATAAATATTCTTTTATTACATCAGCATACTGTTGTTTTAATTCATCATCCCTACCCAGTTTCCTTTCTAAACCTAGCAATCTTTTTACAGCTATATTTTTAGAATTACCGTATTTACAAAGTGGATCTTCGGAACGAAAAGGTAATTTTACGACATATCTCCCATTGACATCTCTAACTGTCGATTGTTCGTAAAATTCTTCGCAGGCCTGTTCTTCAGGCGTGAGAAGCTTTTTCGTTATAGCAGGTTCGGAATCCAATTCCCATAAACGTTTTAACATATCATTCTCTTCTATTTGAGTGTACATCGTGATTATAGTATTATGAGAATTTAGAGAGCTATCTGCCTTACTGACATAGCCTGACACAATCCAACCTAAATGCGTGTCTTGTGCGACCGGAGAGCCTGTAGGACTCTTGATCAGACCTTCTTTTAAAACGGCAGTATACTTCCCCCCCTAATAAAATATCAATTTTATTAGAACGACTGAAATTTGGGTCGGCTAGACGTATGCTGTGAATTTCTGGCCAATTGTCAAGGTTGACATTCTTATCTGGCATAACCGATGTCAGTGAACGTAGTACATGCGCAGTTACGTTTATGGTATAAGAGGAATCATGCAACGATTGAATATCAATATTCACTACATGTTTAGAAACGATCTTGCTATGCTCACCTCCTATACCTGCAATAGTAGTCTTTGAGACTACTCTCCTTAAATGAAGTAATTGCGCAGCTGACTCAGTTATAAAGGATGCTTGTGATCCTTGATCCAACAAAGCTCTCAAAATCTGAGAGGACCCATTTTGTGATTCGGCTTTAACCAAAGCCGTGGCTAACAAGACTTGACCCTGCGTTTGTTCATTCACAAAATGAGATGCTATACTTACCTTGACATCATGGACTGGCTCTGAAGTACATCCAAGTTCAGGGAGAATAGGTTCCCCTGACGCAGTAACCCCAATGGCTCCACTATGGTTCTTCGGATGTAGCAGCGTATGGTGTTTACGCTGACAAATACGGCATTTCGAAAAAACACGGCAGTATTTGGAAGTATGATTACTTCCCAAACAATTAAAACAGGCACCCAAAGATTGTGTTACGGCACGACGTCCGTCCACATCTAGTTGGCAAAACTTCTTACAATTTAAGAGTTTGTGACTCTCCGAACAGTGTGGACATAACATATTAGTCGTACCGTGCATGACCTTAGTGTGAGATGTAGGATGATGATCGACTTTTAATTTATTTTTAGGCTCAACGCATTCGAGAGCACGAAAACGTGTTTCCAAAAACTCGCAAAACTGTTTAAAGGAAGGTAGATCGTCGGATGATTTAGTGACATGCAGTTCCCACTGCTTCCTCGATTCTACGTCCAACTTCAAGCTTGCAACAAAATAATTACATCCCATGAACTAACATCGATCCCAATATTAGTAAGTTCGTGCAAACAGTCACTGGTCACATCTAGTAAATCTTTTAGTGCCTTTGATGATTCATTTCCAATATTACGTTGGCCAAATAATCTATTTAAAATATATGTGGATACAAATCGCTTGTTATTATACCTATGTTCTAACATTTCCCAGCATTTTTTATAGTTTAAATCAGTTATAGGTACATGTTTTATAAGCTGCTCGAGACGTTGGACATCATCAAGTTTTTTATTGTTGTGTACTAATGACACGAACAAATCACGGAATGACGACCACTCTGTATATTTTCCGCTAAAAGTAGGTAAAACTATTTTTGGCAATCTTACCACACTGCTGTCAGATGAACCATCGCAACCTTCCTTCCTGGAGCTGTGAACTTTTAATTGGGACAAAACATTTTTTAATTCTACCTTGTACATTAAATAACACTCATAAACCGTCTCATAGATATCTTCCTGGAAAAAGTCCTGTAATTCTTCACTTTCGCAATCACCTACGATGACTTCATATTTCGCAGAAAAATTCTTGAATTGGGTCTCTAACATCTCTAAACGTGCATCGACATAATTGTAGTTTATCCGATCTCTCGGGGACTTCTTGTAATTTATCCAGCCCTTTTCAATTTGTAATTTGATATCTTTCAGCTTTCTTAGTTCTTTCTCCATGTTGTTTGTATTCATGAAAATATTCTAAGTCCAGTGAAAGATAGATGAAAATTCTCTAAGTGTCGCTGACAGTTGACAATTGACAAATTTTCCAAGTCCAAACTATAGAGAATTTTTCTAAGTGTTTAATACTTTGTAGATCGCTTCGAAATCGGGCATAGATTCGACGTCTGGTCGTTTTTCTCGAAACTATTCTAAGTCCCTGATCGAAAGCACGCGAATTTTTCTAAGTCCCTAGTTTTAATGATTTGAATGTACTCACAGTTCTTTGTCCACAATTATTATTATGCACTTCACTTCACTACTACGAAGTTCAACGATGTTTCCCGATGTTTGTCCTCGGCAGCTGAGCACGTAGTCTTCCACATGTGGTATTGTTAACCGACAACTATCACCATCTCGTATCAATTAGCACAACTATATTTAATTGTATGTGTTCTTCCATAAACACCATCCGGCTCGAAGGACCATGAACAGTATCGGCCGAAAGTCCTTTGGAGCCTATTACTTGAAATAATACGAAGTACCTCAGAGCAAGACAATTTATTTACGTCAAAGCAGACAACCTAATGTTTTGCCGGTAACGAAACCATAGCTTGAATTTAAATCGGCCAACGCCATCTATCGAGCTATGGTACAACACAATAAATAGTAATATGGCGTTGGCCGAGTGCATCTTTTAAACAGATTATTTCTACACTGAACAACGACTATCTTTTAATATATTTGGATAAAATTCTCGAATTATAAATATACATCAAGACGTATCAGATATCGATACTGGAAGGACCCTGTTTAAGTCGAGAAGACCTAAAGACCGACTCGGTCTCACCACTGAGCGAGGTATAAGAAAATAAAGTCTTGGTAACAAAGATTGCGATATTTTTTCTAAGTATTTCATCGATCATTCACAAGGATTTTTATAAAGATCCAATTATACTTTTCGTTTTTGTGGAAGTCAAAAAAATACTAGATTAAATTCATTGAGTGGCTTCAGCGGTATGATAATGTGATGGATGGTAACGCCAAACCTGAGGAGGCGAGTACTCGACTGGAACTTCTTGAGCAGCTCCTCCAGCACCCCACATAAGCACTGTTTGCCGTGGCATCTCCGAGGCCTGTGGCTGCTGCATCCTCTCCTGCTCCGAGTTACTCGACCCTGCGGGACTCGGTCCAGGCACTACGGAAGGCGACCTTCTCTCCTGTCCAGTTACAGGACTCATATATCTTCCACTGCTGTCCACATACGTGTACTCTCTTGAAGGCGGTCGATGATACGTGGGGGCCACTTCATAACCAGGCGGAGGCGCAGGTTCAAGGAAGCCATTCGGCGCATAGGGAGTATAATGATAAGATAAAGGTTTATATTGATGAAAGAGGTTGTCCGCTGTTAAGAATCTGTCGTCTAGCGGCGGCGGAGCGTAATGTAAGGTTGGGGCTGGAGGATATTCTCCGTAAGGAGCTGTGTATGCGCCATTTAAATTAGTGTATGCTGCCGCTACTGCGTCTGCTGCTAAATAGTCGACAGGAGGTGGTGCAGGAGTTGTCGGAACTCTTCTTTTATTCCTACAAGTTGATAGGAAATCTCGAAGTTGTGTTTTGTATCTCCTTGCAGTTCTGGGAGGAGTTGTAACGTTGGTTTCGCAGCCAGACAACTGTTCGGTCTCTGAGAAGTAGAGGCTAGTGAGACCGGTGTCGAGGTAGCTGACTTTGAAGTCCATTGTTCTTTTGCCTAATAGATCTCTGCCTTCTTCCTCCCTGAAAGTAATAAAACCAAATAAGTTTCAGTTTAAATCTAGCCAATATTGTAACTAATTTTAACGTACAAAATTTAATTATACTTTGAAAACTAATTAAAATACGAATACATTACTATTAAAAAAAAACAAAAAATATATTCGTAACCCCATTGAAGAGAGTTACCAAAATAGTGAAAGAACTTACATTAGCGGTCGATGCGTACTAATAACGAAGTCAGGTTTGGAATTCTTGTAGACTAGTCTGGAAGAGGTCTGCAGCCATTGCCACTGACCATCCTTTGTTTGGAAGCGGTAAGCGATCATTCCGGAAGCACCTGTTTTTAATACTGCAACAAAAATAAAATGGTGGCATTATATAAAAATATGTTACCAGCACCTGTAATATTAATATTTATAGATAAGTTACCATGTTTAAAATGGATGATGCAAAAATAATTACGTTTACAAATATAGGTGTATTATTCATTGAAATTTAATAGTTATGCATGACGCTACTTACATTCTTGATGCGCGCTGGCGACGTAAGCTAGATCGTCGTAATGTACTAGATCGTAGCCTCCCATGTTTGCCAGCTCAGCATCTGTATAACCTAGCAGCATTTTACCCCTGGAAAGATGGAAATAATTTTTATTTTGATTTATCAGTATGATATTGTAAATAGAAACAAAATGTTATTGTAATCTCAACTACACTTTGCCTATCGACCTAATAGAACCCTCAAAAGCTTTTGTAAATATTTTTATTTAATCAAATTGACTGCCTCGTTGGCCGAGTGGTCGCAAGTGCGACTGCCGGGCTAGGGGTCTCGGGTTCGATTCCCGGGTCGGGCAAGGTAATACTGGGTTTTAAAAAAAATCTCAGTAGTAGCACGGAGTCTGGAATTGTGCCCGATATATGGCAATAGGCCTCCCTATTACATGGGACTCATAACATATAGTGAAAAGTGGGTGTTACATTGTACAGTGGCATAATGTGCACCTTTGCCTACCCCTTCGGGGATAAAAGGCGTGTTGTTATGTTTAATCAAATCTTACCTATACCAAAATGAATAAAAGATTCATGGACATGACATTAGCAAAACGTTTCCAGGATGAAATTCAAAGCTCACGATTGCGTTAACCTCAAAACTATGGCTATTGTCTAGAAATCACCTTTTTGTTGTAAACCTTGTGGCATTCCCATTAATTAAGCCGTCCGCTGTTCTAGTGTCAATTATCAATTTAATATGGTTTGTATTCTTCTCATCAATGGTGATCTTTTATTGTTACTGTTTTTGCTAAAAATATCTCTTATAGTTCCTAGTTTTGGTGTCAACTTTTATTTAATATTTATTTTAAAGTGTGTATTGTTCGTCATCTTACGAGTAGTTAATGTGTGTCATGGTGGTTTAATGAAAATTGTAACTTTTATCTTTTTGCATGTGCAACTTCTGAATTGTTTTATGATCAGGGAAAAGTGTACCTTTATTTATTTATTTTTTTGCCTCAAAGTGCATAATGTTTGATGGTTTGAATTTTGTTTCGATTTGGAAATACCACACATAAAATCTCATTCCATAGTTTAGTTGTGCAAGGCAGTTTAATAATATTATTTCCATATATTTATTTTAAATTCTCTATAAAATACATTTTTAAATACTACTTACAAAAATATAAAAATAATAGTTAAAAATATAAAAAATAGGAGCCGACCAGTAGCGGAGCATGGTCCAAGCTACAGGTGGTTAGGGCTCCAGAGACAGAAACCTCCTCACGATACGTGCCGTTTCGAGGAGAACTGCCTTCTGTATCAGGCCCTTGACCCAACTACCTAACGCTAGCCTCCTAAGGTGGTTGTCGAGGCTATTAGGGATTAACCCATTGGCCGATACGACTATCGGCACAATGATAGCCGAATCTACATTCCACATGTCGACAACCTCGTGAGCCAAATCAAGATATTTGATTATTATTGTTCTTACCGTTGATCCATAGAGACTAGAGACAGGTCCAGTTTGTGTTTGCTCTTGAACATGACTTCCTTCTGAGGGATCTCTAGGAGTGAGGGAGGTCCGAAGGGCGCACATATTGCGAACAAAGCTAAAGGAGGTTCTTCTGTTTTCTTATTCTGCCCGTGAAGCACTTTGATTCGACCTCGAATGTCAAGCCTCTGTAAGTGAATAAAGAAGTGATAAAAAACATTAATTAAAGTTAGAGATTAATAAAGAAAAGAATTTGTAAAAATTGCACTATACGTAGGTATGTACCTCTAGATTATAATAAACCTACCTTTATAAAATAGAAAATTTAATATACATACAATGAGTGAGATATTGTTCCCGAACCATAATATGAAAAGGCAAAAATGATTCCTATTTTGATAGCAATCTGTATTAAACCTAGGGTTAGTAGATATCTGAGTATTTCTAAACATAACATAACATCAATCATTTTGTCATTCTCTAAGGGGTTAATACTGACACCGCTCGTAATATATTAAATTACTGCGGTGCATTTCATAGTTAATTAATAAACACCAGGATTAATGCTTATTCTGTTTATTCTGCATTTTAACCTCGATATTTTGACCAGGTGGATATTATTATAATTAAAATACGATACATTTTTTTATGGAATAGGTGGCAAACGACGGACCACCTAGTAAGCGATCAGCGCCGCCCATGGACACCCGAGGAGTAATTTTTAGTAAATCAACTAAATGACTAGTTCAATTGCAATGTGTAGAAAGAACCTCTAATGTTCCCATGAAGGGAATAAAATTTTATAGGTACGAATAAGATCAATAAAAAGACTAACTTACCAAGAATCCAGAAGTATTGTCAAGTAAACATCTAAATCTGACGGTAAAACTCCTTTCTAATAGATGTGCCCTGTCCGGCCTCAGTACATCCTGCAGCGTGAGGTTGCTGACCTCTGGAGGGAGAAAGGAGTTCCACAAGATCTGCCGCTGCAACTCCTCCCGGTCTTCAGAGTGAACGAGCTCGTAAACTGACTGGTGGACTATGTCCGACTGGAAATTTAAAATCAAGACATTTTTAAAATCATTTAAGTACAAAAATACAATAAAACTTTACCTAATTCGTGCCACATAATTCAACTTTTGATATTCAACAACATTTACAATCAGATTAGGATTCATTTTACTCCAAAAATTTACCATAACGTAAAGATAAGTACCTAATACTTAATGATAATAATAATCTATTTGTTTTACTCTGATGGTTCCCTAATAAGATTCAATAAACCAGAAGATAACAAGATAATTAGTTAACAAACATAATCTATTCAGTAACAAAAAGAGCAAGTCACAATCAAACCGTAAATCAATAAACCACAGCAAGCGAGCCCTAGAAATCGATTCAAGGCTCAATAATTAAAGAATCATCTATAACGAAGATGGACGTGTTAATTCCGGACTTAAGACAAGCTAATGACTACCTTAACGACCTAAAAATATGTTCGACTATTGTTTGAATGCTGGTCTAATTCATTTTACCACCCATCACACAACAAAAGACCGTGTAAATAGTGTAGATAATGCAACAGCATATGATGCTAGTACAAAACTAATTGATAATCAATGGGGTTACCCAAGGCACGAACTTGGGTCCCCTCTAAATATATAAATGAATTTGTAAAATATGTATAGGGCTGGTATGAGTAACAACATATTGCGTTGGCATTAAACGTCAAAAGATGATTTGTTGGGTAATTGCTTTTGTTCTCATTGGGTTGGGGGGTTGCTATGGTACGGAATCATGTTTTGTTGATACACCTTTGTTTTGGCAATTTTTCGTTGTATTTGTATTGATGGATGATATCATTTTCTATTTTAAGCTCGTTTTTTTGTTGTGAAATATAGTGCTATAATTTGTCTCTATGTTTTAATGGGGTAGATAAAAGTTTTGATTAACTTTGATTTAGTTTTGGGGTAGAATTTTATCTTGATGTAGGATTTTATTGAATTATTATTTTTTATGGGAAATAAAAGTCGTAAGAATAGTAAAATTCGGTGGATTTACGACTCGTATAAATACTCAAAGGTCTTTTAATAAACTACTAAAAGTAGCGATTGTATTTTAAAATGCTTAGCTGTTAGTCACAGTAGTTAACATACAAAGGAGTTTAACAAAACCTACATTTCACCTTCTATTATATTACTACACCTTTGTTAAAAACTTATTTAAAAATAGATAAATTTGCAGAATAAAACCACATTAAACAGTCACAACTGACTAAAACTAAAACTCAATCAAAGACAGCATAAAAAGAAATACAAAAAATAGTAAGACTTTTTAATGGTGGAATAAAAATGATCTTGGTGGCGGTCGGAGGCATTTACGACGAAGCGCAGCGCAGACCATTAGCGATCGATACTGCTCGGCACCCACCTGGCGCGGATTGAAGTTAATGTTGCCATTCAGGTCACCCCTCGAACAACTCAGATGCATTTGGACTTTAATGTTCAGTGTCGATTGTATTTCAAAGGTGTTCTTTTGAGAATGTGGATTGGGCATTGGTCTTCATTGCTTTGTTTGGGATCTAAATAGTGTATTGAAAATTATATGAATTTCTTGATTTATTTAGTTAGGTTTTTCAAAGCTTACAAAATTATATGATTACAACCAAAACAGATATCTGATTCATTGCGCCAATTATGAGGAACACGTGAAAAAGCAGAATTAAAATACAAAAGTGTTGCTATATTTATGAAGGAGACAGCTATCTATTGATAATGATTGTTTGTTGTCATTATGTCTGTGTTTAGTATTGAGCAAATAAGTCCATATACTAATTATTTTACTTCAAGACGAGTTTGAATAAAAGTAAATTAACGTTTGATATTTTATTTCACGTTTACGTGTGTGTGTGTGTGTGTGCTTGTCTTATTCTATAAACCTATACTATAACAGACACATTATTGGATAAACTACTGTATCTATAGCAGATTTTCCAAAATAGATCAATCAATTCAGATCAGAGACAGATCAATTTTTCTTTAACCAACAAAATATAACCTAACATTTAAAACTCTCAGTTTCTATCAACACCCACAATTATAATACACCAATAATCGGTTTTACTGCCACCAATACATATTTACACTGGCAATCTTTACTGCGTATAATCGCCCTTATTTAAGCGTGGCTCGCTTTGCCACGTGCCACGCACTATGCCAGGAAGTGGCAAGTACCCGGACCGATTTAATGATTTATAAATCGATTTGTTTTAATCGCAACCCACCCTACGCACTTTGATGGGCACAGACTAGAGTAGTGTAGAGTGGTAACTATTGGGTAGGTATTAAACTTAGAGTTGAAGGTTTGTATCTGAATAGAAAATAATATAGGTATACCGTATACACATAACATCACGCCTTTTATCCCCGAAGGGGTAGGCAGAGGTGCACATTACGGCACTTAATGCCACTGTACAATGTAACACCCACTTTTCACTATTTATGTTATGAGTCCCATGTAATAGGGGTGAGCCTATTGCCATATACCGGGCACATTTCCAGACTTCGTGCCACTACTGAGGTTTTTACAAACCCAGTAATACCTTGCCCGACCCGGGAATCGAACCCGAGACTCCTTGTCCGGCAGTTGCACTTGCGACCACTCGGCCAACGAGGCAATCGTATACACAGTATATCTTTATTTACGATATATATAAAAGGTATTCACAGAGACGTTTTTATTCAAAAGTATCAACTGGTGGTATGTCGGAACGCAGATCTAAGCGAGTCCCAACGAGACACCTATTAGAAAATCTTATAGCAACCATGCACTTGAGTTGAGTTGAGTTGGAAGAAAATGTGAAGACGTAACGTAAGTCTCTTGAGAGCGTCATTATAACTGCTTCCTTCAAAGTCATAAGGTTCAATTTGCAGGCCATAAGATACACAAGTAGTAAATAAACAAAAACGATAATAAATCAATCCATTGTCATGATAATGTCTGTTCTATTTAAATACTCTTTGCCCCACAAAAGTACGTACAGGTAACCGAATTACTCGCTGGCTTTGAGCATAAACAAAACAAAGAGAGAAGGGGGGTTGAACGTAAAATTTATACGCATACGATCACTGCCAACTGAAAGTTTTATAGCTGGGGGTCGTAGGGGGTCGAAGCCGGGGGTTTTTACATTCTAATAGCAATATTTCATCGGAGACTTTATTAGCTGTAATGCGGAGGGCATTTGTTAACGAGCAATTTTAATATGCGACGCAGTTTTTTGTTTTTGATGATTTTTTTTTCGTAGATTCCGTGGTTATGTTAATTTTTGTGGGTCGTATTAGGATATGAAAATGATTTATTTTTTGTATACGGATGTGTGTTTGAGTTATTGCCTTTTGAGTATTTCGTAGGAAGTTATTATGAATAATTATTTGAGAGGATTAGTTTTTTTCAATGCAACGTTACCTATCATACGTAGGTACGTTTATGCTGCGGTGATGAAATTGCAATCAGAAGAAAATAAATTGTTATTTGCTCGAGTAAATAACGAAATGTATGAAAAGATAGTGTTAGTGAACTTAACATGATAAAACGATTAACCACACATATTAGAAGAATTCATAAAAGTTTGAGCTAGGCGACGTGAATTTTAAAAGCATTTTAAGCAGCAACCAATAAAACACAATCACGACCAATCTCAATGGGGGCGGAGTTCTAAGGCACTTACCCAAAAAAAGTATTTAAAACCCGAAAATATTTAAAATATCGAAAAGATTACAAAGCCATTCGTCGGAAAGTCCGATAAAAAGTTACCATTGATAACACTAGGGCGGTGCTAAAGGCTCTATGGGTACTTATCGCGGCTTAATTAATATTTTTATTACACATTTATTTTATGAATAATTAAATTTTGGTCCAAACCTTATCTTATACGGGCTAAGTGATTAATAAGGTTAATGCGACCTTTTTTCACAAGGAAAAAATAGGGTAATTTTTATATGGAAATAATGTAATTAATTAAAGTGTATTTTGTGGGTGAAAATGTGTCGCGTATCGAGTAGTATATTGTTCGTGGTATTTTGGTGTAGTTGCCGCCGCATTATAAAATTTTGTTTGTTAAATTTTATAGTTGTGAACAAGGCCGAGGCTTTTGGTAACTAAATTCTTTTTTATGAGTGATTTTAGTATACTTGTTAGTGGTTTTAAGTCGACTCGTTGTTACATAACCTCTGTGCTAATGTATTTTACATAGCTAATTTAAGACATATATTTAAGTTCGATAAAGTGAATATAAGAAGGATATCAGTGGTGTTGTTGAAGACAGGTATCATTGGTTGATGAAATGTGTTCAGTATACGGCTGATAGGATTGAATTATTCAGAACATTGAAATTGAACAGGATCGACATGGAAATATTTCATAGAATGATAACAAAGCCGAGTTCTGATGACGCGAAGATGTTGTTCAGTTTTATGGACCTGTTACATTGATGTCTTGTGGTCTACTCATACTATATTAGAGTACGTTGGGACTGACATACGCTGTGCGTTAAAACAATCCCTAAACATATAAATAAATAAAATAAAATGAGGTTATTGACGACATTCTCAACAGAATCTGGTGTCAAGCACTCTGTAAATTCAGAGTGAACCATAATTAAATTGCCCAAACCGAGAAACTATGCTTGTCAATTTAATCTACGAGGATAAATAGATGATAAGTAAGTAAATAACAGTGACACATACCTGATGGAAGCCTAAGTAACTCTCGATGCTGTGCGTCGCGAAGAACACCTCGCCTTCACACGTTAAGATCATCAGGAAACCGTTGAGTGCCTGCAATAGACAATATTATATTAAATAAAAAAGAACAGTCCTTCCATCATGCACAAAACTATATCTTCATTCTTCGTAAGGCTAAGGACTCATGGGCGCGATTTTCTCCCGCTCTTGTAGTGGTTGCGGGCCGGCAGCCTTTATAGAATAACTAGCAGCCCGTCCCGGCTTCGCACGGGGTAGACAATTATTTATTTTTGGAAATTTGGATTGTTGTACTGACATAACTACAATAGTTGGACATATGCTACCGTGGAGTTTTTTGTAGACATTATGATGTTCTTCAATATTGTTGTACATTATTTTTTTCTATCGCTAATAGTTTCGGCAGCGCATTCGACGAAAGACTCATTTTTCTACACCTTCGGTTACATTGTTCAAATTTTACCAAGATTCCCTAATTTTTTTCAAAATGAAATGTAGCCTATGTCAAATTGGAAGAATGTAGCATTCTATTGGTGAAAGATTTTTTTTAATCGGCCCAGTACGTTTTGAGCCTATTCATTACAAACATACAAAAATAGGTACAAATCTTTCCTCTTTATAATATTAGTATAGATATATAATTACGCCTCAATTCCGCCACCGCGTAAAAGTTACTAGGAAGACAAAATTTTATATCTACTGACGAATCTAATAGCAAATAGGATTTAATACCCTGCCAATTTCCTTTATGAAGATTATAAGTCCTGTGACTTATTGTATTGTTTAAAAGAAAAAAGGAAATTCCTATCAATGATTTCAATAACAACACATGTAAGAAAAATTTACAATGAACTGAAATAACATGAAATAAAATAAAACAGAATTTCGTTTCTGGAAAACGAACTCAGCCTTTCAAATAAGAATAGATACAAAAACCAAAAGTTTTTACCAGAATTCTGGCTTGATATGGGGACCGAAATTATTCTGTCGACTACAATAAAGACTTGGCAAGTTTTTCGACAGGTTTCGTAGCTATTTCCTTGGCCAGACACACGGCTGAGTTACGAGCCAAGTTGGACGAAGAAATGTGGGGAGCGCGGTTACATTGACCACACTTATTTACATTTACGTTGAATTTATATTTATTTTCATTGCATGTTAAAGTTTTTTATGGACAATGTTTAAATAGAATTAAAACTACATTTTGTAAATATCCAGATTTTAATATACTAATGAATTTTCCAACTGATTTATCTAACGCCAGATAAATCTTGGCTGACGATTATTGAACAATTCTTTCGTACTAAATACTGTCAAATGTCAATTTTATTCTACAGTTATGAATTAACTACCTAATGATTGAAAAAGACTGCCTCGTTGGCCGAGTGTTCGCAAGGGCGACTGTCGGGCAAGGGGTCTCGGGTTCGATTCCCGGGTCGGGCAAAGTATTACTGGGTTTTAAAAATCTCAGTAGTAGCACGGAGTCTGGAAATGTGCCCGGTATATGGCAATAGGCTCACCCCCTATTACATGGGGCTCATAACATAAATAGTGAAAAGTAGATGTTTCATTGTACAAAAGCATTAAGTGCCAATTTGTACCTCTGCCTACCCCTTCGGGGATAAAGATTCGTGTTGTGTTATGATTGAAAAATCGGCCCTAAGTAGGTAATTAATACACTAATTGATTGTTAATACTTATGTGTTAAAGTATCTTATTTAAATTTAATTTAAATAGGGTAACAGATATTTTCGTCACAAGGACAAAAAACAAATTACGTTATTTCATACTATAGAAAGTCGTATCGTTCAACAATGGAAACGTCAAGCTAACTAGAGGACGTAGAATAAGCACATAATACAGATTATTTATAGCATCGATACTTCCCATTGATTTATTTTGTATCTGACTAACTATTCATAATTTATTACTGTGTAATGTCATCTTTATTGGTCATACTTGTTCTGTTTTAGCTTGTAAATATATATTTTGTTGTGGAAATATTATTTACTATATAAGTTGGGCTAAAATGATCGATTATCCTATGCTCTGTTTGAATCAAGACTTAAAATACTAAATACATAAACAGGTTAAAAAAAGAACACGCTCAAGATAAAGTCGAACGTTCATTTAAAGATTATAGTGCCTACTGAATCTTATAGAATTTCACATCACATCACCTTAATAGCGTATAAGTGTCCTTTCCTCACGATGTTTTCCTCCATCGTTTGTCAGTGGTGTCTAGATAATGTTAGTATTAATCTTATGTAGGTACTTTACTATAACTCGAAAAAAGTCATATTGGTATTCGGCGTTGATAAGTTTCAAACCCATTTAGGTTTATTCTCATGCATAAAAAGCGGGCGTCTTAAACCTCCAGGCCACCACGACAACAACCTTCTAGAATTTATCAATGTATAATGTATGTATGTATGTACATTACATTCAAAAGAAGGATAGTTCAATATCTCTTCTATCATCTATTCTATCTTCTAATGATAAAATAAATTAATACTTTTTCACAATTTGAGACACATTCATCATCATCATCATCAACACCCGAAGGACGTACACTGCTGGACAAAGGCCTACCCCTTAGACCTCCACGTCGAACGACCACTCACCACTTGCATCCACTGGCTCCTCGCAAATATACCTCTTCAAATTAAACATACATTCAGCTAAATGTACATAATGTATGTGTTGTCAAGCGTGTCTTTGCATTGTTCTTACATATGCGTACAGTATTGAAATATGTATCAGAGACATTGTAGAACATACTTTTTTAAAAAGAGTAACGAATGGAGTTTCTTTCTCGTTCTTCTCCATTCGAATCTACTTTTTGGAATGAGCACCTAGCTTCACCTAATTTCACTGACGGACTGACTGACAGACTATTATTTATTTTGTATTTGTTGACGTTTCAAAAGTACCAAACTATGGTTTAATTGAAATAAATGCTTTGACTTTGACTTTGTACATAATGAACTTACACAAAAAACCTCAGTTTCCAACTGACTAATGCATACGTCATTCAAAATACTTAAACCTAAGTCGCATTTCCTCCAGTTATTTATAAATAAACCCTAACAAATAAAGCTAACAATGTTCCATAAACAACATTATACCTACTACAGTAGTACCAGCTAACCTATAAATCGAAAAAGTTAATAAAATTGATAAACTTTAGCTCGGTTATATTTAACCTTGAGCTGAAGGTTAAAAGTTTATGCTGTTACAGTATGATAATAGAATGGTTCGCCCTTAGTAAATATTTGTTGTTTATCATGGATATTGTAGTGACATTTTTATATAGGTAGGTTTTAGAATACTTTTCCTGAAGTAAATTATCTATTTGTTTTATCTAGTCATATAAATTCAATGCTGCAATTTCCCGATAATACTGGTGACGCTTCCGTTCATATTTTTTTACTCAATCAGGATGACGACAGGGTATGAAAATTAATAATCGAATTAGTCCGTCAATGAAAAAATATTAGACACGTATTTTTTTATTTTGTCGTATTATCGTTTAGGACTGAGGGCTAAAACGTCATTTATACGTATAAAATGTACATAGAAGTGACGTCACGCGACATTACAAATCAAATTCGTTTCTGTAAGAAAATAAAAAATACGTGTCTAATGATTTAAAATAATTTAGCAGACGGACAATAAAATAAAAATTTGGCATCTACCCTATTGAAAAATACTCGAGAAAAGCTCTACTCGTTTCAAGTCACTCCGGGACTGATATTCATGAGCAGCGTTCACCACGATGAACTGCGTAACTGCGAGTAACCGCATCTATTGAGCAAGTCTTTTTCAAAGATATATTATAATACTTACCTGTAAGAACATCTCTCCATCTGGCATGGCATGGTCATAGGGGGAGTGCTCTCTCCTATGACCATGGATGTCCTCTTTTTCTTTGTGCATGACCACTGTAACAAAAAAAACATAATTAAAGATTTAGTTCAACAATTAATATTAACTACTTTTTAAAATATTAAATAGAATTTTCAGTCAATTTAGTGTGGTGTAGTTTTTAATTCCAAAACAAGGTTTCGTTTATACATGACCTAGCAAGAAACTCTTAACAATTATGCAAAGAATTGAGAACCTTTTGATATTCCATTGTTTATTACGTTTAAATTATGTGGGAGAGCCATGCTTCTCGAAGATCGACGTGAAACAACGCTTGCGTCGTGTGAGTGAGGTTACCGGAGGCCCAATTACCCCTCCCCAATCGCCCCAAACCCGGAATCCTCCACAATCCTCAAACTCCTAATCCCCAAAAGGCCGGTAACGCACTTGTAATGCCTCTGGTGTTCCAGGTGTCCATGGGCGGCGCCGATTGTTTACTATCAGGTGATCCGTCTGCTCGTTTACGGGCTAATGCCACAAAATAAATGTCAACTATAGTAATTTTTAAAATACTTCAAAGGCTGGCGAAATCTACAGGGCACTTATTCCTTTGACAACAGCGAAACCGCGTGCAGAAATCTAGTCACCTCCATAATACTAAGTCTAGTCTAGTCTAGTAGTAATCTAGACACGTTCTACGATTTAATTCTCGATCGTAGATGTTATCTAGTGTTTGTTACTGCGCAGGTGTGAAGCTAAGCCAACTAATGTCTCACATCGTAATTAAAAGGATATAATTATAATTTTTTAATTACACAACTCTACGATGGGACGTTTGCAAAATAACAACAAGAATTCTAAACCAATTAACACCTTAAAGGTGCGAGGAAAGATAACGTTTTACTTATTATAAATATTTATTGATACTTAATTCATTATTATTTTTATTTATATAATATTTATGGTATTTATATGTTTAGTAGAGATTAGAGATAAGTCTTTATTCTATAGTATATTTTGCTAGTGGCATCGAAAATTATTTTATAAATTATATCTATTTGTCCCTTCATCTGGAGATGGCGAAGCACCTGTAAAACATTTATTAGTCGTTCGTTTTAATGTTCAAAATCAACAAGAAATGTTATGTAGAAGAAATCTTAAAATTTACAAGATTTAGTAGGTAACTGTGCAACCACGAATGTAGTAGTAATCTTTAGCAAGTTGCAAATGTTGAATACACCGACACACAACCAAATCTAAAAGACAAAAGTCTAGATCGTAAATAACACTATAAAGATAATGCATATAACATTTTACGAATGCTTTCTTTTACCTGGAATGGCTGGACCGATTTTGCAAGACTTTTATTGGTAGCTGATGTACTAAGTAACATAGGCTACTTTTATTTTGGACTAGCTGACCCAGCAAACTTCGAAACGCCTCTAATTTCTTTTTCTCACATTTTAACCTTCCCTGGACTTCTACAATTAATAAAGACCAAAATTAGCGAAATCGGCCTAACCGTTTTCAAATTTTAGCTAGACTAACGAACAGCAATTCATTTTTATAACATAGAAGAAGAAGACGAAGAAGATTTTAAGTTCACTTCAGGTTCTCTCTATATAGGGGATAAATAAAACAGACGTTATTGGTCTATACTGAATATATATTACCTCTATAATGTACAGGCGACGAGTGAGTGACGCGGACAATGCGGTTACATGTTTATACGCTTATGCTATTACAGTGTGTGTTCTATGTGCTACCTAACCCCCTTTTTTGAGGGGAGTAAATCATCTAATGACTGCTCCCGCCCGGGTGAGGTGAGAGGAAGTGTCAGGCCCTTAATGAAATAATAACCACCCCGTTCCTACTCCTGTACTTCGAGCCGGAGCCCCGGCAACCAGCTAAGTGTTCCGCGGCTCCGACTACCTAACCTCTACAAGATTATTGAAACTAATACAAAAGTTATGTTCTATGTATGTTCTACGCGGATGAAGTTGCGGCCGACAGCAAGTATTATATGCATCTTTTCATCATATAATAGCAATAGTACCTACGGTAGACACAAGAGGGCGTGGTTTGTGTGACAAATCAGATTCATTGAGCAAAGGGGATGCTGGGGTTATAAGGGGTGTTTTATTATTGTTATGCTGTGGGAAATTGTGCTCTATTGCATAACCCATAAGTATTGTGAACATGATTGGAAAAGAGTAACCTATGTAGTTTCTTGTTGGTTCTTCTTTATAGGAATCTACATCTTGGAAAGAGCAAATAGCTTTACTAGAGAACTGACCGACAAACTGTCATTTTTTTAATATTTTGTTTTTACGTTCAAAAGTGCCTTCCTGCTCTAATTAAAATAAATGATTTGATTTTGACTTTGACTTTGTATTTAATTTTTATTATGACTTAGTAAGCACAGAAGAATGATACGTAATATTCAGTAATTATGTAATAATAGCTTTTAACGACTAAATAAAATTATGAATTAATGAGAAAAGAAAACAAGGTAGATAACCTATTCAATAAATATATTAATTGGAGCCGCAGAGGACTTAACGAGTTGCTGGGACTCCGGCTCTAAGTGCAGGAGTAGGAACGGGGTGGTTTTTAGTCCGTAAGAGCCTGACACTCCCTCCCGCCTCAACTACACGGGAGAAGTCATTCAATGATTCCTCCTTATAAAAAAGGCGTCTGCAGTCGTCAAACAACTACATAAAATAACATAGTTGATCCAGCTTAGTGAAAGTATTAGATGTAATTATGTATTTTTCAATCGATAAGATCTAGTGAAGTCGTGGTAGCCCGGAGGTTTAAGACACCCACTTCTCATGCATGAGGGTGCGGGTTCGAAACCTACCAACGGCAAGTACCAATGTGACTTTTTCCGAGTTATATGTACTTTCTAAGATTATTTAGACACCACTGACAAACGGTGAAGGAAAAACATCGTGAGGAAACCTGGACTTATAATTTCTAATTATAAGTTTGAAATCGCCAACCCGCATTGAGCAAGCGTGGTGATTAATGCTCTAACCTTCTCCGTGTGAGAAGAGGCTTTGCTCAGCAGTGGGCATTTATAGGCTGTTGATGAAGATCTAGTATTTGTTAAATACCTAGTCTTAGGTGGTCCTAGACGGTCTGTTTAGCATCCACTATCCTCAATAACATGTAAATACAAAAGGTTATTTCACTTTACCAGTTATTATCTGATCGCCATGATAATGGTATAGTACCTATGATAGTTACAGTTCACATGAACGTATGTGAAGTGGTCATTATAATAGGTAATGTCTAATTATTCGATTCCCGAGTTGTATAAAATGTGCTTTTAAGTTAGAGAAGAAATAGTAAGTGTATATAACTAACGCTAAACCAGACGTTTTAAGTTCAATATAAAGGTCTTATAATGTGTTATTAGGTTGTATGGTTGCGAATTTCTCAATGAAACAGCACCCTTATAACTTAATGGAGAACAAGGCAGTTGTTTTAACTGTGTAGGTTTTTAGAAAGAATTGAAAAGGTTTATAGAGAGTCAACCAGCAATATCTACACGAACACTTGGTTTTTATAGTATTGTAAATGTTGATGTACTATGTTAATTTTCCATTGGGTGGATCGTAAGTTTGTATTACCAATTCATCGTTAATGAAAAAACATAGTTACGTCCAGAAAGACTTTAATTAAGTTTATTTGAAAAACCGCCGAAAAACCCAAAATAATTCACCAAAACATACTAAGACCTACCAAAACATATTCCAAGTAAAGCCTAACATATAAAATAAATAATATTTTCCCCAACAATGCCGTTGTCACCAACAAACGGTACGGTACACTTTACGACCAGCCTGGCCAATTACTGGCGCCTGGGACACACCATATGGAAGCCAGGGATGTGATAATATCGATAGATTTATGTCGATAGATCATAGTTTATCGACGTCAGTTTCAATTGGCTGGACGTTATTATGGATTGTCGTTGTGTTGGTACTGATTTTGTTTGGGCAATATAATTGTGTGTAAGTGTTTTGTTAATTAAGTTTTGAGTTTTATTTAAAGGATTTTATAGAATATTAATGTGGTTTTCTTTTGACCTTTCTTTCTAGGTAATCGATATTTTTTTCATACTTAATAAGAATTTGATCTTGAATTTATAACAAAGTATTACTTTTGAAAGGCAGCATTAAAACACAATTGTTAAACAATATAAGAGCGTATCATCGTAAGCAATACAAAAACCAACACAAAAAGTAATTAAGTAACAACAGGGTGTACAATGGAAATGAATAAACAATTCGAACAATAATAAAAACAAATTCAACTTTTGTATAGGTAACTTAATTGTCAGTCAAAAACGTCAAGGCTATCATTGCAATTATACTTTACAATTCTTAACAGTAACTGTAGCATTATAATGTATACGAATTATACTGAAATAAACATTTCAATACCTCGCATAATTATTTAAACAGCACTCCATTAAGCCGTGGACTATAATAAAAACAATCGCAATTATTTCACGTGCAGCCTTCATTACTTTTCTTTGCACAACATTTTAACTTTTTAATAAAAAAAAACATAAAGTTATTGTTTTGCGGCCTCACAGATCAAGATAGCGTTGGCCGGCAATCGAATGGATTTACCGATTTATCGATAATGTCCGTGGGTACGTCACTAATCGAATGCGCGGTGGTTTATCACCCTCTATAATCGTCATTACACTATCGGGGGTTTCGTTTGGTACTTTTTCTTTTTTTTTTTTATTTCTGTTATAAATTGAAAACGTAAATTGATGACAGTAGCTGTTAGTGGCCGCGCGAAACTTGTTCATTTTATATTTTAGCACTTTTATCGATAGATTCTATAATTATAGTGGTTAGGTCTACATTTATCTATCGTGGTGTTAGTGTTAGGAAGATATGAGTAATTGGAAGTCTTTTTCTAGTTTCAAATGAAAAACTGAATTATTTGGATGGTTTAATCAAGGACCTTAAATATATGTCACTTGGAAATGATTGAAGCACCAAATGTCAGTGGGTTATTTATGTATGTGTGTGTAATGGGTTACCACGTTTTTTTTTCTCTTCTTTGGCAAACGAGTCTCCAAAACGATCTTGTCGACTATACTGCCAGTGTCCAGTGGTGGGATTACCACGTCAGCAGACTTAAGAAAATGACATAAATATCTCTTTTGTGTCAATGTGTGTACGTTCTGCGTGTAAGTAGTAACTAGGTTTAATTCAAAATAGTATAGTTACTATAATAATGGTTTAATGCAGTTTTCCTAAGCTATAATTTTTACTTAAACTACGCCATTTACTTGAATTATGAGGCGATCGTAAAATACCTACTTTGACTGGATTTTGGTGTTACATTGTTCTCGCACAATCGAACTATCAAAACTATGTAACTATAGAATTGTATTGTGAACCTGACTGAAAAAGGGTAATCTATGGAGTTTCTTGCTCGTTCTTCTTTATAGGAATCTATACCTTGGAATGAGCAAATAGCTTCACTTTTAATTTTTTGTTGGCGTTCAAAAGTGCCTTCGTGGTCTAATTGAAATAAATAATTTTTGACTGTAAATAATTTTTGATGTAGGAAACCAAAATCCATTCATAATATACGAAACTCTGAAGTTAGTTTTATTAATCGCGATTTATATAATACTTCGAAGTAGCGAACCATCTAATTCCAGTCAAACATTCAAATTACGAAATTATTTACCCAACTTACAAGTCAGTGTACCCGGAAAACATTCCGAGCTATCACTCCAATGCCTTATTAGTACGACAATATAAAAAACGAACAATGTTAAGAAACGCAATGGTCATCTAATTAATAATAAATGTCGCGTGCGAACAATTTGTCTCACGTTTACATTACTCGCATTATTTTGCATTGATTTTTATTAACGATTTATTGCTATGTATATTTTGTGGTTTAATAATGGCAATACCTTTTTTTTTGCCGTGTTGTCGTTGGTAATATAAAAAGAAATTAGAATAATTTGGTAATATATTAAGTATTGTTTTTTTAAATGTAAATGTTTGTGTAATTTTCCTATTAAATTAAAGATTTAATGTGACTTGCTCGAGAAAGAAGTATTGAATATTCGTGACACGAGAATTTTAAATTATAATAAGTGTGGCAACATTCCAATATTGATATTATACTTAACAGTTTCTTAATTTAAAATGATTAACAGACAAATATGATTTAGTTATCATTGTTTTCATTTATTACTGCACATTTTGGTGTGAATTGTTTAATAAATAGGAAAATATGTTTTCTCAGAATTTCTTGAGCAAGCCCACCTTTCATTCACTTTTCTGTTGTCTCGAGTAATGATAGGCGAGTCCTTTTATCTTAGGCCAAATAATAAAATTAAACGCTGAGACAAACTGCAAGTTATTTTTCTGATCAACCCATCAATCGAACCTCGCACTAGACACTAGACGAACTAGTTCTTTAATAAAGTAAATAAGCAATATAATTAAGTAAAAAGTAAAACAAACAATTATTTAACTTCTTAATTAAAGAAGCGAGTGAATAAGTTCGTCCAAGTATTTTTAACATAAAGTATGAATATTCATATAGACGGAAAGGTGCAATGTAAATGTTCACTGCTGATTACCATACGAGAGATAGCGCTATGTTATTATTGAGCGACAGTCAAACCAGTTTAATATGACCTTTCTTGACATAATATTTCGGAATATTTTGAGGTCCTATTGCCTGGGTGCAGAATCTTAGAATTTAAATGAATGTTTGCATTTTTGTTATTGCGATTTTAGGCATATGTCTTTACTTGTTGAATTATGACAAAACATGTTTATTAAGGACCGTAGGAGGATATGATAATACATCAGCTGCTTTGAACTAGAGCCGTTCAAAAACCTAGTTGGTTACGTTAAGTAAATGAAACAAATTCTTTATTAATTAGGGACTACTACCCACACTCCTTAGTCTATCGCCTTTTGAAGGTTTCTCTCCGTCATAAAAAAAGCGGACTCCAAGAACTTTGTCTTTGAATTGTTGCCTTAAAAAATTTTGGTACAATTTTGTTAATATTTGCTTTCATAAGAAACTTGTGCAAACACAACGCAAGCGTTGTTTCACGTCGGTCTTCTGTGAGGTCGTGGTATCACTCCGGTCGAGCCGGCCCATTTGTACCGAAGCATGGCTCTCCCACACATTAAACATATTAAATGTTTTCCGGTTTTAAAATGATCAGTAAGTAGTTAAAAAGATTATGGGATTGTACCAGGTGTATGGGTAATAGAGTCGTCCCCCTTTTTGTTACAATGGGTGTAATTATCATAACTGGCGAAATTGGTATCGTTAGTAATATAGACCTCAACTTGTCTGTAATGATAGGTTATAAAAAACCTTTTAAATATTCTTTTCCGTAAAGAAGTATAAATATGTATGACTAGGTGACTGGATAAACTTCGTACAGCCTAAATATTTTTTCTCGTGTTTTTCCCAGGACTTCCAAGAACATTTCAAAACCAAAATTACCCAAATCGGTTCAGCCGTTCTCGAGTTTTAGCAAGACAAATGAAAGGAAATTAATTTTTATTTGTATACTAGCTTCTGCCCGCTACTTCGTACGCGCAATCCCGTTTTCTCCCATTCCCGTAGGATTATCGGAATTATTTCTGTGTTAAGAACCTTCTCATAATAATAGCAAATATAACAAAAAAAGAATTAGTGAAATCGGTGCAGTCATTCACGCGTAATGCCAAGGGAAAAAGGGATTCAGTTTTATAGATATAGATAAGCTATATATACGCTAAAGCCGACTTGAACAAAAAGTGATGTTCCCGGTTCGGGTATAATTGGGATATTTTTTGGTTTAATTTTTTTTTATAAAATCGTAGCTGGCAATATTACTTATGTTCAATCCCTATAAATAAATGACAATGCGAACATAACAAGAGCAAAGTAGGTGCTACAGGGTGATTGTAAGTTGTTAAAACAGTTCATTAACCCAACAAGCTATGTATAAAAAATCTGTCTCAATGTTCAGTATTAAACCGCGAATAATTTTGTCAAAGTAAAGTTTATGTTAATTTTGAACTAACAATGGTTAGGTTACAGTGACCATAACAAGTCGTTCGTGATAAAACCACATAAAGTTAACCGGATCAAGAGCGGTTAATGTTACATAATATCCTTATACACAGCTGCAAATCAAGGTATACCTAACCAGCTTATCTTGGTCTCGCATTGACTGATTTATTCTTACATTCAACGGTCAGTTTATACTGGTTTGTTTAGCTTGATGTGTAACGTGTACGTGATTTTAGAACTTTGGTTTAACTATATTTGTGTGGTTCACGTTCAGTTTTAAATGTGCTGCTAAAATATTTTTCGAGGTTTTTAATCGAGCAGCTAGCTAGTGATTAATAATTATGTATTTTTTGTTCAATAAGCTGGGTTTAAGCCTCACAGGAAAATAATTTTAAGTGTGACAGAGCCATGCTTCGGCACGAATGGGCCGGCTCGACCGGAGTGATACCATGGCCTCACAGAAAACCGACGTGAAGCAACGCTTGCGTTGTGTTTCGTCGTGTGAGTGAGGTTACCGGAGGCACAATTACCCTCCCCTTCCCCAATCTCCCCAATTCCTGAATCCCCAACGATCCTCAAACTCCTAATCCCCAAATGCCGGTAACGCAATTGTAACGCCTGTGGTGTTCCAGGTGTCCATGGGCGACACCGATTGCTTACCATCAGGTGATCCGTCTGCTCGTTTACCGGCTTATGCCATTAAAAAATATATAGTTCTTGTATTTTTATGCTACTAGAAATTAAATCATTTTGAAACATGTCCTGCCCTGTGCTTCGAAATGAGTCCTTCAACTTTATACTCAGCTGTCATTATGAGAAGTTATAACCTTATTATTGTTGACAAAAATACTATAATCAATAGTTTTTTTCATAATCTGTTTAAAAAACACAACTTCAACCTCCTCTTTTTTAAATTCGGTTAAATACTACATAACATAATAACATAACATCACGCTTTTTATCCCCGAAGGGTTAAGCAGAGGTGCACATTTCGGCACTTAATACCACTGTACAATGTAACACCCACTTTTCACTATTTATGTTATGAGTCCCACGTAATAGGGGGTGAGCCTATTGCCATATACCGGGTACATTTCCAGACTCCGTGCTACTACTAAGATTTTTAAAAACCCAGTAATACTTTGCCCGACCTGGGAATCGAACCCGAGACCCCTTGCCCGGCAGTCGCACTTGCGACCACTCGGCCAACGAGGCAGTCATAGTAAATACTACCTATAAATGCTAAAACCTTTGCCTAAGTATAATAAACACTTTTCTGAAAATCATCATCAAAACCGGTTCAGCCAATTACGACATAATTGTGCATAAACATACATACGTACAGCTCACACCTCCTTTTTTGAAGTCGGTTAAAAAGATCATTTCTGCTTACCCCTATATTATAAGGAATATGATGGATAAGAGGATTCAGGGGTGGCTTAAAACCCAAAACCATAAAAGAATACCTACCTAACATACACCAAAAATATGCGTAAAAACCCAAAAAACACAATACATCATAATTCACGGAAAACAATTAAAAACGTATAATTTAGTCAGCACATCTGTTATAACCGTTTCACAATATGGCACGTGGTCGAACCCCATGCAGGGGGTAGCGCACCGTGACCTCTTAATGACTGGACATGTGGGGTACAATATGGGTGAAGCAGTTTTAAGTTAAAAAAAATAATGGACAACACCTTTGTTATTGTAGTTTTAGATTTTAGGAAAGAAGAACTGTGGTCCTTTGGTACGGATAAGGGAGCAAAAGACTTAGCAATAGTTTAAGTCAAAGTCAAAGCATTTATTTCAATTAAACCATAGTTTGGTACTTTTGAAACGTCAACAAATACAAAATAAATAATAGTCTGTCAGTCAGTCCGTCAGTGAAACTAGGTGAAGCTAGGTGCTCATTCCAAAAAGTAGATTCGAATGGAGAAGAACGAGCAAGAAACTTCATTCGTTACTCTTTTTAAAAAAGTATGTTCTACAATGTTTCTGATACATATTTCAATACTGTACGCATATGTAAGAACAATGCAAAGACACGCTCCGCGTAGAATATGATTACTGTTTTATCCCATGGGAGCATTTAATCGGGATAAAAAGTATCCTATCACCTAAGTCAGCATATACCATGTCTATGCCTATTACGGAGCCGCGAAAGGCCTAACGGGTTTCCGATTCGAAGAGTAGGAGTTGGAACGGGGTGGTTTTTAGTCAGTAAGACTCTGACACTCCCTCTCACCCTGACACTGTGCCTCTGACACCCAAGGCGGGAGAAGTCATTGATGACCGAATGATGGATAATTTTCCTCCTGGAAAAAACCAATACCCTGCCTATTTAAGTACCAAATTTCATTAAAAGCCGTTGAGTAGTTTAAGCATGATTGACGAACAAATATCCAAACAAAGAAGTAATATTAGTGTGATAAGGAAAATTAACCTTTATGGAAAGTAATGAGCGTAGCCTACGGATACCTAAGGCTAGAGAAATCATAAGTGCGTTGTTGGTCTATAAAACGCAAATACTCATAAACTTTTAAAAAAAGATTTCTCTTACACTTTTATAATCCTAAAGGACGTCTAGACGAGTTCAGACATCAAGGTAAACAAATCAAAACGTTAAGAAATGCAAGTAAACGACAAAGCGTTTAGAAATCTTAACACTTCAACCGCCGTGTCACGCCGGGTCGCGTGCCCTCTGTCACGCTAAATTTAAAGGATTACTACAGTCGTGTGAATTTGTTTAATATTGAGTTTCAACTGTATTCTATATTGTTATAGCGTTTATTATTGCACTTTGATGAATACTGTTAGACTCGAACAGATAAAATGTTGTATTGTAAAAAATTGCAAGCGAAAACAGAACATCTCTAGAGAAAACAGAGAAAAAAGAAAATAGCATTCTCTGAGTCTTGTTAATAACAAAAAGATTTAAAATCCTATAAAGACTTCCTCCTCAATAAACTAACAGCTGCTCTATATCAATAAACAAACGATAAAACCATTAAATCAACATTAAACATTCAAAGAACAAGCCGGCTTTTAAACAACATGATTACAATTACAAATACAATAGAAAGTAGTCGAAAAAAGCTTTTAAACCTATAAACATAAAGAGTGATACCAATACTGAATTAACATATTAACATAAATCGCCAAACGCGATGTAGTTACCTCTAATTTTTAAAGTAAACATATTGATAAAATTTCTTCCCGACTACCAATAAATCACGACAAACCGAGATGTCTCAATATACCACGAAGTAATTTCAATGCTAGAGCAAAAGAGACAACGATACCGACCCGACCAAAATCAATACGAAAGAAAGAGACAACAAACAATACCACATTTCGTATTAATTAAGGAGCAAAACGGTTTTAAATCATTTGCCGTCGACGCTCCCTGTGGGAATCCAGAAGAGTTATAAGACCCTTTATTCTAAATTTAAAATTACAATTTTGTAAATGTTTCGAATATTTTAAATCTTGTGTGTACTCGTTATTGGTCTCTCGGGTGGAAGAAAAAAAATACTGGCCTAAATATCGATACTTTATGGTGAAAGGTTAATATTGTCTGTGGCAGGAAAAAAGACCCTTGGGAATTTGTTGACGGTAAGTATTTAGCACACGAAGATAAATGAGGTTGTGTGTGATCTATCTCGACTAATATAATTTTATTGAAATGAGCTTTCTATCTATCTCTAGACTAGAAGTAAGTCATAAGCTAAAACAAGTGTACCATAACAGAGTTTCATTTTTTTTCATAATCCAATTAAATTCGCACATTGCTAATATAACTAACATCAATAACCAACGCACTGCATAAAAGATGTCCACTAAAATATTCACATTTAAATGAAAGATAAATGGCGGTGCCATTTAAAAATACATTATTAACACTAAACTATCAATTACAATATTATAACACTGGCAATAAAATCATAATAATCATTTATTAACGCAAAATCAATATTCATAAGTACAAACACCAATTAAAACCGTTATATTATCTATGCGGCCAACTGGCGGGACAGTTGCGTGAAACGAAACGTCACGGGGACGGTAATCGCGAGATTGGCTCATTTGATATGTGAATGTCACGCTGGCTAGACGTGTGGCGTTGAGTGGGTTAATGTTAGGGGTAGAATGATATTCAAATTGGTAGGATTTTTTATGATATTATTAGGTTGGTTTTGTGTTTAAGGTTGCTTTTGGTTTGTAGTTTTTAGTGATAAATACTGACGATTTTGGTTGTGTTTTTATAGTTGAAATGCTGCGTTTGGTTGCGTGAATTATCGGAAATACAAATATGTCTAATAGATCTATCTATTTTTTGAGAAAATTGTTACAATAACTTATCTACATCTAAATCTCATATCAATCCATTCGACCTTTTTTTATGGCATAAATCGGTGAACTAGCAAACGGATCACCTGATGGTAAGTAATCGGCGTCACTCATGGACACCTGGAACACCAGAGGCGTTACAAGTACATTACCGGCCTTTTAGGGATAAGGAGTTTGAAGATTGTTGGGGATTTGGGGATGGGGGGGGGGGGATTGGGCCTCCGGTAACCTCACTCACACGAAGATTCTGTTTTATAAACAGACGATCCCTTTCGTACATCAAAATTTTCAATAATGTTACCAAAGATGTTTCTGAATGGTTGTAGTTAAATATGACAACAAAATAAATGATGATGTATTAATTATAATTTTATAAACAGGTGCACTTTGAAAACTAGTTAGTTTACTTGATATAATTGTTCTATATTAGACCGTGGTTAATAAATGATCTATTTGTGGCCTGTTACTTCTTTATAAATGCCATTATTATTGTGGGACATCTCTCTTATAATTCGAATTAATTGTAGTTGATTAATAGTAATTAATAGTATATCACACGCTCTGCTCAGCTCCTATTGATCGTAGCGTGATGTTTTATAGCTTATAACCATCCTCAATAAATGCGCTATCCAACACAAAAATAATTATTCAAATCAGACTTGTAGTTGCGGAGATTAGCGCGTTCAAACAAACAAACAAAAAAACAAACTCTTGCGCTTTATATAATAGTATAAGATGTATTAAATAGTCACCACTGACAAACGGCGACGGAAACTTCGTGAGAAGACCTGGGTTTATAATTTCTTATTGTAAGTTTGAAATCGCCAACCCGCATTGAGCGTCATCGAGCGAGCATCAAAGAAGAGGCCTTTTGTCAGCAGTGGCCACTTATAGGCTGTTGGTGATTGATGAAATAGGAACGAAAAGCCAAAAATCGTCCACCTGTATCCCTTTCATTGACCAAGCTAATTAATTACCAGCCCGTTACAGGCCCAAGGTGGACCAATTTCGCTGCTTTTAAATTTAAAAGTGTTGCGATTTCTTCGCTCCTTTAATTGATACTGCAGACGAAGGAATCCAGGTCCGTGCGGTCGTTACGTTATCAATAAACTGATTTCACACTCGAGTGTAGTTGGTATACATGGTGGTTTTATTTTTTTTGATTTGTGAATAAATTGATGGGGATATTTTTAATGGAATGGTTTAGTTGTATTTTAGTGATTGTAGTGAAATGAAATGATTGGTTGGTAACACAACGGTTATGTTGTATTTCGTCGTGTGACTTAGCTTACTGGAGGCAAAATACCCTTTCTTCCCCAATTCGTGAATACCCAACAATCCTCAAATTCCTAATCCCCAAAAGGCCAGTAACGCACTTGTAACGTATCTGGTATTCCATGGTGTCTATGTACTAAACATTTACGCCAATTGAGTAAGAAACTGCCACATCTGACTAGGTTACAGCCTCTATCATTTTTCTAAGCTTCGGCAGCCTAAAGTCTAGGCAAAGATATAATATTATGTAGTAAAAACTGTCATTTTCCATCGCAATACCAGCAATCAAAAAAAAAAAAAATTAAAAAGAAAAAAGTACAATCACTGAAATTCTTCTTCATCCAAGCAAGCCCAATTTAATTGCTATTAATAAACAATAAAAACATAAATGAATATCGGTACAATCGCGGGCATGTGATCCGGTCGCGCGGTGCCTACTGGTCACGAAACGCGACAGTACAAACAAAATAAAAACATATTGTAGTATCACATCTCACCGTGTCCATTGCTTTCTGTGTCCACATTTATAAAATGTGTTCGTATTATTGCTTCTTTAATATGCTTTTGATTCGTTTAAATGTGGAATTACTGCGTTTATTGGGTAAACGTAAGCTGAGAATGTTCTGTAGTGATTTTTAGGTCCTTGTGTGGGAAAATCACTGTTTTCGATGTTTATGATGGTTTTTTAATGTTGTATGAAAATGTGATTGCATCATATGTGCTATAGTGCTTTTACGTTCTTGCATTGATGG